TAACAGTAGGTCAGCAGTTCAAACTCAACCAACAGCTCCCTGGAAAACTCTATAGAGGGTCACCATGAGTCAGAATAGACTTGACGGCATTGAAACAAGAGCATAGATAAGAAAATGTTCTCATGAAGTCTTGTATATTGCTAAGTCTAATTAATGGTCAGTTCTTATCCTGTTTGACCAGCAGTATATAGTATAATTGGTCTGTTCTCATTGAAGCACTTCTGCTTTGTCCTTTTACTGATTTCTTTGCTTTTCCTGGTCTCCTTTGCTGATTCCTTAACTCCTTAACCTCCTGATGTTGGCAAGCTCCAGGACTCAATTCCTCCTCTCTTCCTCTTTTTAAATGTTTACTTATCTTATTACCTATAATGCTTTCCTGATGAACTCAAGTGTCAGATAATACATTTCTGTTCTTAAAAATCACCCACTTTGTGGTGTTGTGTTACAGCATCTGATTGAATGGCAACTCTGTTCTTCAGTTGATCAGACAAAAAAACCTTGGAGTTATCCTTAATTTCTCTGTTTCTCTCATATCCCATATCTGATCTGAACTTACCAGCTCTACCTTTAAAATATATCCAGGATTTGCTCTCCTACCATTCTCTCTCACCAAGCTTTTCAAAGATGCTCAGGGTTTCTTTTTATTATTATTCTAAAGTCATTGCTTCATTGTCTTCTAACATCCTGGTATTGCTGATGCCAATCTGATTCCCAGTCACTTTTCTCTCTGAAAGTGTTTGAATTCTCTTTTCTTTGAATTCAGAAATATTGCCACATTGATGTGCTTTTTTTCCCCCTCTGTGGATCTTTTTTTCCCCCCTCTGTGGATCTTATTAGTCTGAAGACTCAATTCTCTTTAACCTAATAAATTTAGTGATTTTCTTGTTCTCTAATTAGCTTCTGTCTTATTTTCTGTTCCTTTCCCTTCCTTTTTTTTTTCTTCTGGAATATGCATTATATCTGCCCCTTGGTTTTATAATTTGGAGGAGGTAAAAACATATAACCAACTACAAGGAAAAGTACCCATCCAAAAGCAATTTAAAGTATTGAGATTAAATTTAGACTGCCAGGTGAAAATAGCAAATTGGACATCCCTTTACTCTTCCTTCCTGTTGATAAGCCCATAGAAAGAACAAAAGAGGAAAAAAATTTTTTTTTTTTAAAGACAAAGTATCAAGGACACAACAACAAATTTTGGGAGCTGGAACACAAATGGATAAGTTTAAATGATATCTTAGCAGAAGTGAGAAAGCTGCAACCTAAGAAGGCTGTAGAGAAAGGTAAGAAGTAACCTGATTTACACCCAAACTCCCAAAAGACTCCCAAATTGACATCACCAGATACAGTGGAAACTAGAAAACTATGAAATAATTGAGCATGAAAGTAGAGTTAAAATCTGGAGAACTGCCTGAAAATTTGTTTTAAGCAGTGTTCAGATCTCTAAGTCTTCTTTAGCACTTCATGTAACTGGATTGCTCCCCCCTTTCCAACCATGGTTAAAGCTCTCTGGAGAGGGTAAAACAGAAAGGTTCTAGAAGACCTTGTGCATAGTGGAGATCGGAGATACAACTAGAGGCAGCATTCAATGAACATATGCATTCACTGAATGGTCAGACATCCATGTTAAAAAAGTACTTAGTGTGATTTGAGGAGGAAAGTTTTTAATATAGAGATAAGGTGTAAAGAGGATTCCAAAGAATACAGCAACAGTAGATATATGGACCAGCCACTTCTTGCGAGCACACAAGGAAGAAACAAATGGATGAGGACTAAGGCTGAGATTCAGATCTCATTGAAGACAGTGTGCGTGGGCCTTCATGGGTGACAAAAGTTTGCTGAGATGATGCATGTTGGAACTGACAAAGCAGGAGGCCACTATCTAGGGTATGGTGAGACTCACTAGGAAGCTGCCTCTTGGGGTACTGTTGAAATTCATTAGGAAGCTACTCTTTGTTATGTTGGTAAAATTTGCTAATTAATCTATTCCTGTCCTAAAGTGATGGGTTTCTTTTTTTCTTTTTTTCTCTTCTTACTTTCCTTTCTCTTTTCCTCCCCTTTTTCCCTTCCTTCCTTCCTTCACTCAGTCATTCATTCTACAGGAACTGTTTAGCCACTGGAGGTAGGAGAGCTTCAGCTAGGGTGTTCCTTATCTTTTCCTTTATCACATCTGTGTTCTTGTCAGTATCCACCAAAGTGGAAGGTGTTTTTGTTTTTATGCTATTGAGTCAGTTCCAATTCATAGTGACCCTCTACATCAAAATGAAGCACTGTTGCTATGTTTGAGCTCATTGTTGGAGGATACCAGTGAAAATTTCTTTGGGGGAAAGATGCTGAGAAAAAATGGTCTCTATGTTTGGGCTAACTTGCTGTTTCTAGCTAATGCTTTTTTTTAACTTCATGGTATAAGCCAGACCTTTTCCTGAATTAGGAATATTTTAACTTCCTATTATTTTCTTCTGTTTTGGGGAAGGATGTTATTCTGTAAGCTTACGTCTGTCTTTCCCCTTTCCTGGAAGTTTCATAAGTACTTATAAAGACATTTGGAATAAGGAAATATGACAATTAAACTGAAATAACATCCTTAATCTGGCTCTGGACCTATTTTGCAGGGGGGGAAAAAAAAAAGCATACATCCTGTAGGACACGCTTTAAAATAGGTAGCAGATGATCCCTCAAGTTTCCTTACTTGTAACTTGTATATGGATGTGGACATTTCCAGGGGTCTCCTAAGGCAGTGAACTGGAAACTAGAGTGCTCAGAAACTCTTGAGAAATAATTGGCTTAAAATATGGTAGATTTCTGGCTCCTGTCCTTAGAAAGTCAGATTTCAGTGGGGTTAAATCCCAGAAATTTGTAGCCATCTTATGCTGATGCAGGTGGTCCACAGCCTGCACCCTGAGTAGCACCATTTTAGGTGTTGATGTTGTCGGATTAACTGTGAGGTAGGTTCCTTGTTGTTTTTTGGTTTTGTTTTTGTTAACTGGAACATTATAAGGAATCCTAGTGGTGTTATAGAATGAGCACTGGACTGCTCCCATAAAGATTTCACAGTCTCAGAAACCCTATACCTATATACAGTTTCTATGAGTCAGTATCAGCTCAGTGGTAGTGGGTTTGGTTTTAGTTGGAGCAGTATAGGGTGTGTGGTAGGGCTGCATAGCTGACAGCTACTTGATTCAGACCTATGGCTCACCAAAATCAATGTCCTTTCTGTCCTGAACCTCAGTCTTTCAAGGAGAGTCCATGCTGCTGTCCTCTTCCTCACCCCCCAACCCTCCCCTAAATGTGACATAGAGTACCAGTTTTCTATTTTGCTGAAAGAGAACATTAAAAATAAATCAACAATAAAAATCAGAAATGGAGTATGTGACTAATTGCCTCCATGAACAACTGCCTTCTTTGCAATAAGACCAGAAAAACTAGATGGTGTCTAGCTACCATTACTAATGTTTTGATCAAAGGTTTTTTAGAAGAACCTGACCAAAGGAAGAAAATGCAGAAAAGAATTTCAAATCTTGTGGACTCCAGACTTTCTGGAACCTATGTAACTATTACCCTGAGATGATCTTTAAATTTTAAATTAAACACATTCCCTGAAGTCCTAAACCAAGGTACTAACTAGTTCTGTTTAACTAGTTAAGAGTGTCTGCTTTGAGCATTGTATTTTTTCAAGAACTGTCTATAGGAGTCCTGGTGTGGCGCTGTGGGTTAATGCGCCAGACTGCAAAGCTGTTTGAACTGCAAGGTTGGCAGTTCAAGTTCACCAGCCGCTCCTCGAAAACCCTATACAGGGTTGCTATGGGTCAGAACTGACTCGACGGTACTTGACAACAACAACATAGGGAAACAGGAGTCCTGGTGTGGTGCTGTAAGTTAATGCACTGGACCGCAAGGTTGGGTTGAACTGCAAGGTCAGTGGTTCAAACTCACCAGTTGCTCCTTGGAAACCCTATGCAGGGTCGCTATGAGTTGGAACCAACTTGATGGCACTTAACAACAACAACATATGGGGATCAAATTGACAACAACAGCTCCAAAAATAAGAACCTTAAGGGATAGTAAGTACCACAACATGAGGAAAGAGGGAAAGTGAGAATAGTTGCACAGCTCAAAGAATGTGATTTTTGCCACTGAGTGTCCATATGGGAATAGTTGAATTGGGATGTGTTCTGCTATGTATGGACTTCTGGTGTGGCACCATAGGATCAGCACTCTACTGCAAACCACAAGGTTGGTGGTTCAAACCCACCAACTACTCCTTGGAAACCCTTTATAGGGTCACGATGATGTGACAGCATGTAACAATTTAACAACTGCTGTGTCTATTCTCAGTGCTAACAAAAATAACTTACTTAAAGACATTATTAACACCCCTCCCACCATATCATTAAAAAACTTGAAAAATAAAAATACAGGAAGAATTGTTAAGTGCAGTCAACTTGGTTCTGACTCATAGTGACCCTGTTAGGGTTTCCAAAGAATGGCTGGTGGGTAGTTAGTCCAGTGCTTATCCTACAGAGCCCCACTTCATAATCCTTATTGCTGTTGTCGCTAAGTGCCATCAAGTGTAGGGTTTCCGAGAGTGGCTGGTGAGTTTGAACCACCAATTTAGTGGTTCAAAACAACCTTGCAGTCCAGTGCTTATCCTATAATGTCACACCAGGACATTTAGCTTGAGGTGTAGGCTTCACTTTTATAATCCATTGTCTTTTTTTTTTTTTTAATGTATTATTGTGAATTATGTGATAGTTTACATGGGAGAACATTAGTTTTACATTCATCCTATAGTATATCAATCATTTCATTGCTATGGTTACAATCCTCTCCCCGGTCATCAGCACACATCCGTTGTCTTTTTTTGTAAGCTGCAGATCATTGACTACTTTATCATGAAACTGATTTAAGAACTGCTGTTTAATACTCAAAATAATACTTATTAAGAGGCACTATGTGAATATAATGAATACACAATCTCTTTTTTTCTCTTATTTTATCGCCAGTTCGGTCCTTTGGTACAGAAGATAGACCCACAGATCGTCCAATTCCACCTCGAGATGAAGTCTTTGAATACATTATATTCCGTGGAAGCGATATTAAAGACCTCACTGTTTGTGAGCCACCAAAACCACAATGTTCTTTGCCTCAAGACCCAGCTATTGTTCAGGTAAAAATCTGTCTTGGTGTGTAAGTAAACTAAGCACATTGACTCGTCTTGGCGTTTGCCTCTCCCAAGTTTTTTTGTTTGTTTCCCAGTTCTCTCAATTGAATGTTCATCTAGCTAACCATTTCAAACTATAAAATCACCTAGGTTTTTCCCATTTAAATCATCAGTTGGGACTAAATAAGATTTTTTAAATAGCTTAGGAACTTGTCTTTATTGTAAAATACTTACATATTTCAACAGTGGTTAAACAACTAACATTTAGACTATCAGGCACTGTTCGAGGCACTTGTGCTTTTGAGTGTGTATAGAGTTAGTTTTATACTTTGTTGAGACTATACCCAGCAGAGCATACATCAAGTTCAGCAATTTCTACATGTACAATTCAATGCACGAATTACATACTTTGAACTGTGCAAGCATTCTTGCTGTCTTTATCCAGGTTTTTCCTTCTCATTAACATAAACCCACTGCCCCATAAGGTTGCTGTTTTTCAAGTTGCTCTTGTCCATTTAAGAAGCTCTGCTAGTGTAGTGGTTACAAGCCTGCTAACCTCAAGGTCAACTGTTCGAAACTACCAGCTTTTCCATGGGAATAGCCTTGAAAACCGTATACAGGGTCACTATGAGTCAGAACTGACTCCATAGCACACAACCACCACCAACCATCATTGTCAGTTTGTGGTGCTGCAGGATAATGTACTAGACCACAAGGTCATATTGAGCCTCAAAATTGGTGGTTCAAACTCACCATCCGCTCCTCAGAAACCTATATAGGGTTGCTATAAGTCAGAACTGACGATGACACTTAACAACAATATTGTCAATTTGAGCTCATGGAGCTTTAAAAAAACTAACACAATACTTAAGGAAAACACTCTTTGCTAAGTAAGCTGAATTATTGTTTGCTGTTAAAAAGATTTCAGGGGAATACCTAAATGGGGCTACAACGTGCCCAGTGAAGGAGGCTTTCTGTGGAGCCTTTGCATTACATAAGATCATAGGTGGAATCTTGAACCCCATCCAGAATCTTCTGAGGTAGGAAATTTCCACTTGAAAGGACAGGCAGACCAGCCTGGAGTGGCTACTTCTTGGAAGAAAGACTGACAGGAAAAATACAAAAAAATAATGGCAGTCTGACTGACTATTACAAGAACAAGCTAAGTTGCTTGTCTAGGAGACATCAAGGAAAGTGGTCGGGTCCCCTCAGGGCAAACCCCCTTCCAAGACTAAGACTCAAAGGGAATACATGAGCAGACATTCACTCTGACTGGTGACCACGTTGGTCACCGATAAGGGGAAGTGAGGGAAAAACAGCAATGAAGCAGCAAGTTAAGCCCTACCACGTTCAATAGACTCCTGTGAACCCGGTTGGAGACCTGGCTGGCCAGCAGTGTGTGTGGCAAGACCTGGGAACTCTTAGGCCCAGAGTCAGTTGACATAGCCACAGAGAACTAGAGTGGAGAGTGAAGCATCCAGCTGATATGAAGGGAGGGCCTATGCACAAGAACACCCACACTTGCAGATAATACCCACTTGACCTGGCATCGGTGGCTAGATGATCAGAACTCAACTAGAAGAAGAAAGAAGAGTAAAAAAAAGAGTAATCTGATACAAATTGATGAACTTGACCTACACCTATGGATGCAGTAGCTCAAAAGAGGGAACATATCTTTACAGAGAGGATCATTCCCACCCCCTCAATACACAGGGTAGACAGGGATGGGCAACTTGGACTTTGGCTACCCAAAATGGGGGTGCTACAAAGGCAAGAAGTGACTGGCTTACCAGCTTTCAAGAGGGAGCCTAGATCCAGAGGGCGTGAAGGAAAGTAGACTCTCCACTGAGTAGTATCCAATCTGTCTTGGCATGGCTGAAGAAAGGAGATGGGTGTAACACTCATGTGGTACAATAGTAATAATTGCTGTCACGACGGACTGTGAGGGTTGGAAATGTAAAGGTAGACATTTTGTAACAAAAGGAGGGGAGTGATTGACTTTGCAGTCCAGGAGCGGAGATCCCTGGAACCATCAAGGGAGAAGAGCAGAGTGCAAGACCCTACCCAGAGAAGCAATGACACCAGAGATGGAGGCAGAGACGATGACGTGGAGAGATGGAACGGCTGGGGACTGTAGACCCAGAGAGGGAGAGGGGCTGTGTGTTGACGATTGGGGGGCAGGCTAAAGACTATCTCAGGACAGTAGTTCTGGAGGTTTATCCAGCGTAGTGTGGCACTAAGGATAAGCACTGGACTGCAAGATCTCCTTGAACCACAAGATCCGCAATTCAAATCCACCAGACGCTCCTTGGAACCGCGTAGCAGGGTCCTGTGAGTTGGAAACAAATTGACAGCACTAATAACAACAGCATCCAGCTTCCATGACTGTAGACTGTCTGGAGGCGAGGAAACTTTTCAATTCTGTTCTGTATTTTATCCCTTTTTGTTAGAATTTTTCAAGAGAATCTTGATCAAAATGTTCAGTAATGGTAGCCACGCACCATTTTTCTATTCTCATAGAAAAAGAAACAGCTGTTCATGGAGACAATTAATCACACATTCCATATCCTCCTCCTATTCCTGACTCCTCCCTCTTTTGTTTGACTAATTGCTGTGCCTTGAATGGCTGCTTGCATGCTTTGAAGACCTCAGGCTGTGCAATGGAACTAGGAGGTAGAACAGAAACACTGAACATGTTATTGGGCCAATTAGCTGGGATGTCCCAGGAAACCAATCCTTTAAGTCTTCAAACCAAAGAACCAAATCACATGAGGTGTTTGGTTGTATTCAAGCTGCCTCAATAGCTAGTTGGGTTTGGTTTGGTTTTTTTAATTGTGTTTATCACACAACTTTTTGGAGATTTACAACTTATTGACAGCAATTACTTGACTCTACTGGAGTCCTGGTATGGCGCTGTGGGCTAATGTGTCAGACTGCAAAGTCGTTTGAACTGCAAGGTCAGTGGTTCAAGCTCACCAGATGCTCCTTGGAAACCCTATACAAGGTCGCTATGGGTCGGAATTGACTTGACGGCACTTAACAACAATAACTATACTCTTACATATTTAAATCAAGCCTCAAAGTGCTCTGTGAGCTTCATCTACCATAATTATCATTTCAGAGAAGTTGAAGTAGAGCTAGAATTTGAACCCAGGCAGTTTAGGTTCATTACCCACAATTTGTACTAATTTGTTATATTTAGACATGGTTCATATTACAAATCTGGGTAATAATGGATGCTCATAAGCAAGATTATTAGTTTTAATAAGAGGGGGAAAATGCTAAATCATATTAGTTATTGTTGCTAAGTGCTATTGAGTCAGTTACAACTCATAGGGACCCTGTATAGGGTTTCCGAGTATATTACATAATATGAGCAGGTTTCAAAAAGTTCATGGAATGACCCTAGCACCAGAAGACCTAGGTGGTGCCTGGCTAACACTGCCAACTATTTTGAAAGGAATCACATTAGAAGGTCCAGGACAAAGTGGAAGAAAATAAGGAACAAAGCTCAAAATCATAATAAAAAAGACCAGCTATACTGATAAGACTAGTGAAACCCTAAGACTGTATATGGCCTGTGGTCACCCTTCAGATCTGGTACTGAACTCATCCCTTTGGCTCAGGTGTCAGGTATAGAAGTGGGACCGTAGCATTGGTGAGGTACACATACCATAGAATGGTCAGCTATTCGAGATCAAATGGGGAAGCATTTACCTAAGGAAACAATTCAGAAGAGTTGGGAAAGGAAGAATGGAAACCGGAAACTCAGGGAGGAAGTGGGGTAATGATGTTATATTGAGGGAATTGCAGTCATTGAGATGAAATAAAGTCTATGATTTATTGAATGTAAAATTGATCATCTGCTCTGTAAGCCTTCATTCAATTCACAATCACTTTTTAAATTTGCAGAAAAATTCCATTATCTTAATTGCTTTTTTCCTCAAAATAATTTATTTTATAAGCTATGACAAACAGAATAATTTTAACATCGGCAGATAAATTACTGAATTCCCTCAATAAGACATTTTTTCAAAGACCGTAAGTATTATCAATAAGAAATAAAAAGTTATTAAAAACAGAAGATGGATATAATGTCTAAAAGATAGCAAATTATGAACTGAAATGTACATGAAATGCTTGCATAATTGTTAGTATCTCTGAGTCTCAGCTATAACAGAGGTTCATTCACATTTTTACTTCAGGGCATAGCTGACCCTATGATTTTTCTTCTGAATCCATTTTCTTCACAACTTAACCTTATTTCTTGTCAAAAGTCATCATTTTATCATTTGCTTGGTGATTTTTCAGCAGTGTAATCCTTCTTCTAACTTACTTTATATTCGCTTTTTTTTTCTTCCTGTGAATGATAAAAACATAGTTTTTCCATAAAATCAGTGCTTAAAAATCTCGAATAGAATTTGTCTACTGTCTTCCAGCTGTTAAAAGAAAATACCTAATGAACTTTTCCAAAGAAATATAAAATGGTGTCTAAAATTAAAATGGAAAAAAAGGAAGAGAAGGCACCTTTTAACACTTATTTGCTACTCACTTTTTCTAAATATTAAATAAGCTTTTTAATAAAAAGTGGTAGATTTTATTCTTGTAACATAAAAGAGAATAATCCACTCCCATCCACTTCTTTCCTGTTTTAAAATCTTCTTTATGTGTGTGTGTGGGAGAGTAAGTCTGAAGGAATCCTGAGAAAATATGAATCGCTTAAATAGAGGAAGAAGAGACATTCTTAAAAGAGTTATCTACCAATTTCTTTCATAACACTGGTGTTATCTTATGCTGTCTTATATGAGGGAGTCTTCAAAATGGTTCTGGACAAATTCCATCATCTTCCCATTTCATTTTTCCAAAGTACCCTTTTGCATGTTTTTTATAATTATCTTGTTGTTAAGTGCTCCTTCATGGAGTGAAATAACCAAGGGACTGCAATCCAACCCCATAATCTTTGACTTGATCCGCTTAGTCAACTATTCAGTTTATTGAGTGCACAGATACGGTCCCAAAAGTCTATCTTAGGGTTGATAAGTTAAGGTTTTTATAAAATGTTCTTAAAATTAATGATAGCTATGTTTAAAAAGGTAATTGGCTTTGTGGAGTGTTTTCTGCATCATTCTAAACTGAAATTAAAGTACACCGCAATTGATTGAAAATAAGAAAAAAAATCAAAAGTGAGATTTTTTTTTTTAAACACCACAGTCTGTAGTTATTTTTTTTAAAGTAATTTTCTGTTGATTTTTCTTAGTTAATTTACTTAAGTTATTTTTCCTCAGTTCTTTCCTAAACCTAATATAAAATTCTAGGTCAAAGGAAGAAGTTACTGTAGAAAAGTATTTCTACATTACCTTGAATGTAATTGGTACATACATAAAAACTAAAATCAAAAGGTGGTTGTTCTATTATAATACTAAATACATGTTTTAAGTCATTATAATTGCTTTTATGTCTAATTGTTATAATTTAATCTTACCCTTTTTTTTTTTTTAATTCAAACTTCTTCCCATTATATTCATGTTGCTTAGAGCCTGGAAAACTAACCATGATTTTCCTTCAGTCTTCATTAGGCTCCTCGACTTCTTCCTTCCAGTCAGTGGGTTCCTATGGGCCTTTTGGCAGGATGCCGACCTACAGTCAGTTCAGTCCAAGTTCAATAGTCGGGCAACAGTTTGGTGCTGTTGGTGTTGGTATGTGCTGCTTTATGTCTGTGTATGTGTGTGTAATGTCTTTACCACAAAAATAATAGAAAACTGAAACAAACGTTTAGAAATATTGGTTGATACTCCTTTTATAACCTTATTTTATGCTGTTAAGATCAGATTTTGGTTATTATTTTAAAAGCTGTATTTAATGTCCTTGGTGTGGACCTTGAAGGATAAACACTGGATTATTAATCTCAAGGTTGGCAGTTCAAACCCACCAGCCTCGCCTTGGAAACCCTATATTGGGTTGCTATGCATGTGTAGAAAATGCAAAAGTATGTTCACACCATTAAAATAAATACATCAAATAAGCATGGTAGGGAGGCATGCGAAAAAACCCATTAACAGTAGTTTTGTATTCTAGATTCCTACAGTCTGTAGGCCAAATCCAGTTAGCTCTCTACTATAAAGCAAGTTTATTGGAAAGTAACCCTGCCTGTCATCTGCCTGTTGTCTGTGGCTGCTTCCTTATCACAAGAGCAGAGGTAGTTGAGTAGTTAGGACGGATTGTTTGAGTCACAAAGCCTAAATTTCTACCTGGCCACTTAAAAAGTTTTGCCATATCAAATCTAAATCAAATAATTGGGAAGTCAGATGTAAACTACTCACCACTTAAATTCCATAAGTAAATACCAAATTCTCAAGAGTTAATTTAACAACGATATTCTTAAACCTCTACCAGGCAGCAGGGTAGCTCTTACTGTTAGCAGGTGTTATTGTTGTTAAGTGCCTTGAGTTGGTTCCGACTCATATCAACCCTGTTTAGGGTTTCTGAGGAGCAGCTAATAGATTTGAACTTGAGATTCACAGTCCAGTGCTGGTTGTACAGTGCCACACCAAGTAGGGGGATCATTTTGTCCCCAGGGAATATTTGGCAATTATTTAAAAACAGTTTTTGCTTTTTGGGGAGAATGGTTCTTACAGGCATTTAATGGGTAGAGTCCAGGAATGCTGCTTAACATTTTACAGTGCATAGAACAACCCCCAACAACAAGGAATGATCTAGCCCAAATGTTAATATTACAAAGGTTAGGAAAACCCTACTAAACAGTAAAACATGGATGAGAGAAATTAAAGGTCTTAAAAAATGGAAAGTTATTCATGTTTATGGATCAAATGATAAAATATTTTTAAGGTGGCAAATTGACGTACAGATTCAGTGCAAGCTCAGTCAAAAAATCCATATGACTTCAGTTTTAAGAAATTGAAATTGACATGTGGTTTCTAAATTTTATATGATCTAGAATAGCCAAAACAGTCTTGAAGAAAAAAGTTTGAAGTTTGCAACACCTAACTTCAAGACTTTATACAGCTACAATAATCAGAACTGAATTTATAGGTGTAAAGATAGAGAATAAAGAGTGTAGAACTAGGCCCACTTAAATATTGATTCACAACACAGGTAGTGCAGGTCAATAGAAAAGAAACTCTTTTTAACAAATAATGCTGTAACAACAGCATATCCACTTAGGGAACAAAATGAACTTTCTTGATTCCTGCCTTATATCAACAAATTGAATTTGAGGGAAACTATAGACCTAAATCAATAGCAAGAGTTTGGGATGAAGGTAGGGAATGACCATAAAATTAGAGAAGAGATGAGGGGAAAAGAAGAGTGTTCTAACCATTGAATGGGCAATTCAGAGGACACGCAGTGAGAGGTTGGGTCAGTGAAGAAGCATAGAGCAGCCTGGAGATGTGAGTATACATCATCGGAGCAGCTTATATTATTGAGCATTACCTGGGAATGTTGGAGATAACAAACGGTTCGACTGCCCACAAAATTCTTGAGAGCACTGGTCCAGTTAGCAGGGATGTTGTGGGACTTATGTTAGGCTTCCCCAGGGTTGGCTTGAACTGTAGCCTAACTGGATTACTCCTCAAGTGACTCTCATTTGAAATATACTATGTTCTGGTGCCTCATTTCAGGAGGGATATGAACAACAAAGAAGCCTTGTTAGTGTAGTGGATTACAAGCAGGGCTACTAAACTGCAAGGTTAGTAGTTGGAATCTACCAGTCGTTCTGTGGGAAAAAGATAATACTTTCTACTCCCATAAAGATTTACAGCCTCAAAAACCCTTTGTTAGGGTCTCTATGAGTCGTACCCAACTTAGTGGCACACAACCACCTACCACCACCATGAACAACCAGAAGTCATTAAATTTGGAGCAGTGCTACCTTGACCCCCCCCCCAATGGAGTCTTAAAGCCCATGTGAAATAAGTGGTAGTTGAAGGAACCTGAGAAGCATAGCCTAAAAACAAGAATTGCAAAGGGCATGACTATTATTTTCAGATATTTTAAGGGCAAATGAGGAGCTACTGTTGGCCAAAACCAAAACCCACTGCCAGCAAGTCAATTCCAACATGTAGAGACCCTATATAAGATGGAGTCCAACTAGAACTGCTCCTTAGGATTTCTGAGACTGTAAATCTTTACCGGATCAGGCAGCCTCATCTTTTTCCTGAGGAGCAATTGGTGGGTTTGAACTGATGGCCTTGCAGTTAGCAGCCCAACACTTAATCTATAGTGCTGCTAGGCTAGACGTGTGAAAAATCAGGAAAATGATGACAGAAGGAGGTAGACACAGAGAGGAGAGCCTTCTAGATTGAAGTTTGCAGTTTGAGCTTTTATCCTGAGGACAGTGGAAAGCCATCAAAGGGCACTAAGCACTGTAGAATGTGATTGTATTAAAGATTATTCTGGCTACTAAATAATTAAAGTATAGCATTTGAAAAATGAATGATCCATAAGTGCTACAGAAACTTAAGAGGATAAGATTGGCATAACTCTCAGCATAGCAGAGAATCGAGCCCTTCTAGGGATTTTGTTACTCTGATTACAGGGACTTTTTATTGTTACTGTAGGCAGAATGCAGCCATAGTAACATCCTGAGGAGAAACAGTAAAGCTCGAGTCCATTATCTGTTACCTAGGAAATACCGGAAAAACTCGCACTAGGCATAATTTGGCTATTTGTACAGATACTTGATATTAAAATAATTGAACCTTAATGTTGACTTTGAATTTCCCATCTCTGCTACTTCCCTATCTGATATGGGTCCTTGTTGTCCCATCGCAGGCAGTGCTCTGTTATAAAAATTCATTTTTATATCTCAAGGGTGCGCGATCCTGTTTTTTCCCTATGTTGTCAAATAATTGCTTAGTGTAATTTATTATGTCATTTTCTGGATTATTAATTTGTATGAGTGTTATGGGGTCATAAAATAAGCATTATCATTAAAAATGTTACATTGCTTTATGTAACTGAAAGTTAAATTTGTTTTTTGTTTTCTTTAAAAAAATATCTCTCAAAGCTGGAAGCTCCTTGACATCCTTTGGAACAGAATCGTCAAACAGTGGTACCCTATCCCAAAGTAGTGCAGTTGGCTCTGCTTTTACACAGGATACAAGGTCTCTGAAAACACAGTTATCCCAAGGTACGCTGTTTTTCTCTCACATATTTCTTTTCTAAACTTCTCTGAATGTAAGGACTTTTACAACTTAATAAATCACATGTACATTTTGTCTTCAGTTTTATTTAAATTTTTCTCCCAATTGTCTGTTGTTATAAATGTATGAATTACTTCACTTATTTATTGTACAATTCTTAAATCTTGAAGCTGAAATGGTGAGGATTTTTTGCAATTTGATGAAACTTTTTTTTTATAATTATATAACTGCATACTCAAATATATTGAATCAGCCCCACATTCACCCTGGAAGTATTCGCAGATTCACTCCTGAAGATGAACCATTCTTAATGAATTAGAAATATCAACTGAAAAACGAGCCATTCATTATGCTATTGCGTCTTCCCTAACATCCTAATCAGTGGAGAAAACTATCCCAATAAGTGATACTAAGAGAGATGATTGGCTGATCGTTTGGGAAAAATAACTACATTCCTTCCTTCATATTGAGTACTAGAATAAAAGTTAAGCTAATTAAAGGTTAATTTTTAAGTCCATATTAATTAGATGAAAGTTAGAGATATTTCTAAAAAGTTGCATAAGAAAAAGAGATATCTTCATTTTAAATTTCACCCACTAAAATTTCTGAATTTCACCAAAGTGTAAAACTTCTCTAATTTTCTTTGAATTATAGTAAAGATACAAAGATAGCTCAAGAGGGTATGTTTCTATTATGCTGAAATAGTTTCTTGGTTTATTCCTAGTATCTATTTCCTATATATAATAAAATAATAAGCTAATAGTAATTTTGGCTTTTGTTTTAAGTATACAACAGTGAGCTTACTGACTTAATAGCTTCCTAGAATTTATAAGTCGCAAGAACTTTTCTTAAAGAAAAGCCTTGTTGAACTAAGTTTTAATAATTTAAATGAGCTCTGATCTGGTATTGTACAATTAAGCAGCAACAGACTTTAAAAAAAGACACTTGTTTTGTAAGTATTAGTGGTTCCAATATGTTTTCTTATAGGCTAAAATGTATATTACGTACCATGATTTCCCATTATAATCAATGGTGAATTTACATTGTTTTAATTTATGGTAAAACATAGGCATTGGGCTGGAAATAGTAAAGTTTAATAAATTTATAATTGCATACTTTTGTTGTTGTTGATAAGTGCCACTGAGTCAGTTCCGACTCATAGCGACCCTGTTTAGGGTTTCCAAGGAGCAACTGGTAAACTTGAACCACTGACCTTACAGTTCAAATCAACCTCATAGTCCAGCGCACTAATCTGCAGTGCCACACCAGGACTCCATATTTTAGATACCTATAAATTTGGTCACTATTAATACTAACTGTCCTCCAGCATCTGTGTACATGATAATTAATGGATTGTCAACATTTGGCATTTGTGCAGTTATTTGGCACCTGTGCAGACAGGCACAGACTGAGAACATTTGTAGCACGTTTGGGAATATTTCCACTAAGTACCAGCAGATATTTTAAAAGGCATTGTATTTTGGTGCAGTGTCAGGGGCTATGAGAACACCCTGAGCAGAAATTTACCACAAACAGGGGCAAAGCACATGGGCACATCCTTCTTTGTATGCTCTGACCAGGCTTCAACATCATAAAAGAAAAAATGGGGTTTCTTAAGTCTGTTCATATTAAGCAAAATCTTGCCAACAAACCCTTCAAATCCATTTGACTTCTTTACTTCTTTATAATAAAAATTTAATGGAGATAATATCTATAGCTATAAAGATAGCACTTTAATCACTTCTTCAGAACGTACTAAAAGCATTAAAGCCTCTGTCAGTAATAGCTGAAGTGGCAAAATAAGCTCTATGGTTTTGGTTATAAGGGAAAGCCTGTATCTGACCTGCTTACAGCATGATTTATGATGGTTTTCTTAGAGAGTCTTGTGTTTCACACTTTTCAGTTAGCCATATATACATGTTGCAATTTTTGAAAGCATAGTTCAACCTTATTTTACTAGATAGAAATACAGACAAATGTTTGGAAATTTGTTGTTGCTGCTGGTTTTAATGTTTTCTACTACAGTAATCTGGTGACCAGCCTGCTAGGGGTAACCAACTGTAAACTCTGGTCTAATAAGTAAACAGATTCAAATTGGAGCTAAGAATTTAAATTGGTACAAATAAAACTCGAGACATATTTTCCTGATAGGGGTCTAGATTATTTTGAAATCCCCAAAGGATAAGGTAGTCTCTTATCTTTTGGTTACATTCTAGGTCGTTCAAGCCCTCAGTTAGACCCTTTGAGAAAAAGCCCAACCATGGAACAAGCAGTACAGACCGCCTCAGCCCATTTACCTGCTCCAGCACCTGTTGGGAGACGGAGCCCTGTATCAACCAGGCCTTTGCCATCTACCAGCCAAAAAGCAATAGAAAATCAAGAGCACAGGCGAGGTAGAACTTTAGCTATTTACTATTCCTTAATTGACCGGCGTTTTCCATTTACGTTATATTCATTAAAGAGATTTACTTTATGTGAATGGTCTTAGAAAGTTTAAGCTGAACTTAACAGAATGTTTTCAGTCTTTCACATTTGATTCCAAGTGGTGGTGGTGGGGTGTAGATTTTTATGAACGTTGCACAGGTTTTGTTTTGGAGGGTTTTCCCCGGTTCTGTCCATAACAGAAGTTTTTGATTGTTACTTGAATTGATTTGTGACTTTGCATATCTCCTATAGCTGAAGCACACAAAATTTCAAGACCAGAAAATGAACAACTTAGAAATGATAGCAAGAAACAAGTGGGTAAGTTGCTTGACTCTAAAATCCTTGTGCTTCTTAATGGGGAAAACATTTAAATGTGTAGTAGTAAATCATTAAAAATGGTAAGATAGGAGTTGATGACTTTGAAGACATACCACAGGGTGATAGTGTAGTTCTTTATCTTAATTATGGTAGCAGTTATATGACTCCATGCATGTGATACAGTGAATGTACACAGAGACATAAAAAATCCCCAAAGGAGTAAGATCTATAGGTTAGTCAGTTGTATTGTGCCTATGTCAATTTCTTGTTTTTTGTAATGTGCAATGTTGTTACTAAGTGCCATTGAGTGGATTCTAACTCATGACCCTCTATAGAGTTTCCAACAAGTGGCTAGTGGGTTTCAACCACCAGCCTTGCAATTAGCAGTCCAGTGCTTATCTTAAAGCACCACAACTTGACCCCATTGTATAATGTTAGGATGTTGTTGTTGGAGAGGAACCAGGATAATGGACATGAGAATCCACTCTACTATTTTTTTCAACTTCAGTGTCTATGATTTTTCCAAATTAAAATTTACCAGGGGTCCTGGTATGGTGCTGTACAATAAGCACTCAACTACAAGGTTAGTTTGAGTTGCAAGATTGGTTCAAACACGCCTCCTCCTCAGAAACCCTATACAGGGTCACTGTGAGTTGGAAGCGACTCAGCTCACTTAACAGTAATAATAACATTATATGCCAGGGTGACTAAACCAGTATTACTTACAGGATTCCAGTTCATATGTGCACAGGCTTATCCGCACGTTTAAACATGTCTCTGCCATCAGTGGATACTTGAAGACAAATTCTCTTAGCAATTTGCTTTTCTTAGTTGGAGTGCCTACAAGAAAAAGTGGGATCAAAGTAATGTCTCCTGAGGGGATCCTTGTGGCTGGGCCAGTTCAATTCCAAGCAGAGACGTCAACTCAGAAGGCTGTAGCACTGTTTTTTTAAATTCCTCTGGTGGCATAGTGGTTACGAATCAGGCTCCTACTGTCATGATCAGCAGTTCAAACCTGCCAGTGGTTGTGGGAGACAGATGAGACTTTCTGCTCCCATAAAGATGTGCAGCCTCGGAAACCTCCTACACGGTCACTGTGAGTCGGAACCAACTCCACGGCACATAACCACCGCCACCACCGACCTTGATAGGTTTTCTCCAAGGACACAAGACAATCATGGAGCCTTATTAGGAAGAAGTTTTAAGAAAATTTAAAACGGCATTGGTGACAAAATGAGAGGAAAGTTGTACCCATCAGGATAATGTACCTGCTCATTCTTCAATGAAGGGCAGTCCTGTGAAACTATTGGGAAACTGTACTCCATCCACCCTACAGCCCTGATCTTGCCCCTTCAGACTTTTATCTGTTCCCAGAATTCAAAGAAACTTTAGAAAGAACATGATTTGAGTCCCTTGAAGAAGCCAAAACTGCTATTTTGACTTGGTATAAATTGAAGAACTCAGAATTCTTTGGAGAAGGATTTTATTGTTAAGTGCCATCCAGTTGGTTCTGACTCATAGCGACACTGTATAGGGTTTCTGAGACTATAAATCTGGGTGGGAGCCAGAGAGCCTCATTTTTCTCCCAGGGAGTGGCTGGTGGGGTCTAACTACTGACCCTGTAGTTCCTAGTCCAGTACTTAACCAGACAGAATCACAGTGCATCTATTTAAGTAAAAAAATAGAGTGACACTACCCTCTTCGCTCTCTGTCAACCCTTTTTTTATCTGTTGCCCTGATATTTATTACTGATTGCTGTTGTTGATAAGTGCCATCGACTCAATTCCAACTCACAGCAACCCTGACTAGGGTTTCCAAGAATGGGCCAGTGAGTTGGAACCACTGACCTTGCAGTTAGCAAGCCAGTGCTTATCTTACAGCACCACCAGGACTCCATTGCTACTGATTGGTGGTGGTTATGTGCCATGTAGTCAGTTCCGACTCATAGCAACCCTATATAGGGTTTCCGAGACTGGTGGAGCAGAAAGCCTTGTATTTCTCCTATGGACTGCTGGTAGTTTTGAAATGCTGACCATGAGATTAGCAGCCCGACTTGTAACCACTGCGTGGCCAGAGTTCCTTTTGTTACTAATTTGTGAGTTGTGAGGTGCCATCGAGTTGAATCTGACCCATAGCGACCCTGTATAGGGTTTCCGAGGAGCAACTGGTGAGCTTGAACCACCGGCCTTGCAGTTCAAACGGCTTTGCAGTCTGGCACATTAGCCCACAGCGCCACACCAGGACTCCTTAATACTTACTAATTAGGCTTGTATAAAGTAATTACTGTAGGATAAAGGGTATGCTCCTTAGCCTGAATTCAAGGCTTGTGGAGGAAAACCCCCGGTGTATAAGGATGAGCTGTATAAAGGATTGTAAGAGTTACTTTTGAGCTGTTCAATGAACATGGGTTTAGTGATCTAGAAGCCTTACACTGCATTTTGCTTTTGCGAAGCTATTGCTAACTCATTGGTTTACATGGGGAAGGCTTAGAGAGATAGAAACACCACCTTCAAGAATGTATGGACCTAGATGGTGAATCCGTGGAGAGCCAATAGCTTCACATTTTGATTTTTTTGTTGTTTAATACGGGTTTCTATGATTTTGTAGTAATACTTTTGACTTACCCTCTTATATGTGTGTGTGTTTAAATTATTATTGCATTCCTGGAATAAACCTACTTGAGAGTAGGCAATTGTCTTCTAAAATATTCTTGAATTTTATCTGCTGCTACTTTTGGTGGTAGTGGTGGTGGTGGTGGTGATATGCCATGGACTTGTATAGTGTTTCTGAGGCTGTAAATATTCACGAGAGCAGAAATCCTCATCTTTGTCCTGCTGAGTGGCTGGTAGAATCTAACTGCTGACCTTTCGATTAGCAGCTCAGCTTGTAATCCACTACACTACCAGAGCTCTTGTTAGCTCTGACATACCAAGTTAGTTCTGACTCATAACAACCCTGTATAGGGTTTCTGAGGAGCTGCTAGTGGGTTTGAACCGCTAATGTTGGGGTAAACATTTCAGTGCTTATTTATTTACACTGAATTATGACTTCTTTATTTTTTTTATATTTTATTATGTTTTTGTACCAATGTTATGTTACCAGTATAAAATTATTTCCATTGTATTCTTTACTTCTTAGAATTATCTGTATCTTAAAAGCTTATCACACGTAAGGAATGTTTTGCTGAAGATAATTCAAAATCCTTTGCAGCAGTACATCAATTATAAAACGGTTGCTAATTCTAAGGATATGTCCTGTATTTTTAAGTAGTCCCAGTGGCATTTAGTGGGTTACATGTTGGACTGCTAACCACAAGGTCGGCAATTCGAATCCACCAGGCACTCCATGGTGGAAAGATGAGACTTTCTTCTGCTCCCAAAATGATTTACAGCCTCAGAAAGCTTATACAGGGTAGATATAAGTAGGAACCAACTTAACGGCCACAGCCAGCCATACCGTGTTCTTACAATAAATCTACAGAGAAGAAATGTTTGTGTCATCTGTTTACAAGATGAATGATTGTCACATTGTGGAGAAGGAAGAGAGGGGCTTGGTCTTGCTATCTCGGGTGGCAGAGGTGGAGGGAAAGACAGGAGAATCAGGTACATACATTGTAACTTTACAAAATACATCACTATTTCTGTCTCACTTTTGCTTTTGCAGGTCTCTAAAAATGGTTCTATACAGTAGCAATTCTTCCACCATTTGCTTTGGTTTCAGTGCCTGTGTCATAGAAAAGCCCAATATATTTATTGAAAAAAATCAATGTGAAGTAGATCCATGTAATTCAGACCTGTGTTGTTAAGGGCCAACTATGTTTTACTTTTTTTAATTTGGAAAAAGGAAGAAACCCTTTCCCCTGCCCCCAGCAAAAATAAAATAATTCTAGTAATTCTATTATTTTAAAATGATGCAAATAGATAAAAGTGCCTGTCACTCCCATTCAGGACTCACCTCCCCAGTCCTTTAGCAGAACAATTTCTTTCCGATTTCCTTCTTAGGATTTTATAGACATAGTCATCTTAAACTTTGTTGGTTTTTTTTTTATGACAGACTCATGCTTTACTCCCTGATTTGTAATCTATGTGTTTTTATAGTCAAGGTGAATATTGTAAGCATCCAGTTTCTCTAGATTTAAATATCTGGTATATTACTCTGGTGAGTTTTGATTATTTTTTTCCCCAAAAGGGCCAGGCAGTTTGTAAAACCTCAGGGAACATGAACACAAAGCAATTTGCCACCCTATGGTCTTTTGCAAGTGTGTATCAAACATTTTCCATCATTATTATCATTGGATTCATATTATTTTGTTCTCTTCATTTTTCATCAAATACTATTTCATCCTTCTTCATTATTTGTAGCCGTTCCTCTTATGTTGATTATTTGGGATCTCAAGTTTTCACTATAAATCATGCCACTTTGGTATTGCTTTATGTTAGCTCATTGTTGTTAAGTGCCATCTAGTCGGTTCCAAGTCACGGTGACCCTGTATAGGGTTTCCAAGGAGTAACTAGTGGGTTTGAACCGCCACCTTGCAACTCAGACTGACCTTGCTGTCAGTGCCACATCAGGACTGACATAAATCCTTGTTAATGTGTCATATTGAAAAGAGAGAAAAACAGTACAGAAAGACTCAAATAAAATAAAAGGAACCTTTTAGGAGGAGCCAGTTAAAGGTGAAGTAGAAAGTATTTGTAGTTAGTTAGACTTGGCGCTTGTCTGTTGTTTCATAAGGAAGCTTCAAAATGTCATGGAAAAATGCCATTATCTTATCATTCAGTTTTTCCATAAGCTTCTTGAAGCCCCTAGTATTTGTGATAATTATAGAAATCACACTCTTACCTTGCAATTTGTACTGACTAGTTCAGTGTTCTCTTACTTTACTTGCTATAAATTTTGGTTCCTGCAATCTTTCCCACAGTTTCCTAAATTTCCTAAAAACCTAATTTGTGCCAGCCACTATATTAGGGATATTGCAATAAGAATAAAATCCTTATCTTCAAGGAACATGTGTTTATTTAGAGCAAAAGTCTCCAACTGTGTTAGATTGTGTAGTCTAGCCGCATATTTGTGAATGGATGCTAAATGTATATAAATATTATGTGTATTCTTTTCAGTCTATATTAAATATTAGTAAAAATTTCTTATTTTATATGAAATATACAACTATGGTTATGTGTAAAGCTTTTTAAAGCATTTCAGTTGTTGATCACTTAATATAACAACCACAGCCGTAACTTCTGTGCTGAACTAGCTGCTGCGTGTTGAATATCTTTTACATATGTGCCTTATTACCATAGTTCCAGGTGCTCCTTCAGCTCCCAGAAGAGGACGTGGAGGTCATCGAGGTGGAAGGGGAAGATTTGGTATCAGGCGAGATGGTCCAATGAAATTTGAGAAAGACTTTGACTTTGAAAGTGCAAATGCACAATTTAACAAGGAAGAGATTGACAGAGAGTTTCATAATAAACTTAAATTAAAAGGTAAGTTTGGGGTTTTCTCAGAAAACAATTTTTTTTGACAATCAGAATTATATTTCTGATTAAGTAATTTTATTTAATACAAGTCTTGACTTTTCTGATGTTTGCTTGTTTTCCATTAGAAGACAAACTTGAGAAGCAAGAGAAACCTGTAAATGGTGACGATAAAGGCGACTCCGGAGTTGATACCCAAAACAGTGAAGGAAATGCTGATGAGGAAGATCCACTTGGACCTAATTGTTATTATGACAAAACTAAATCCTTCTTTGATAATATTTCTTGTGATGATAATAGGTACAGTTTTAAAGCTGCTCTTATGATACTGAAACGGTAGATTATGAACTCACAAGGTTTAATGAATGATTAAAGATACCTAAGGGTCACAGTAAGGAGCTCTGGTAGCATAGCGGTTACGAATCGGGCTGTGAACCGCAAGGTCAGCAGTTTGAAAGTACTAATCTGCTCCGCGGGAGAAAGATGAGGCGTTTTGCTCCCGTAAAGATTTACAGCCTCGGAAACCCTGTACAGGGTCGCTGTGACTCGGAACCGACTCCATGGCACATAGCCACCACCAGCCAAGGAGCACAGTTAAATTTTTAGTGTTTTTTGTTTTGTTTTGTTTTTTTGCTAAAAGAAGATAATATACGGAATGATAAGTATTTTTCCTTAAAAAGAGGAAGTGACCATATACTTTGGTTTAAGATTACACTCAAATTTTTCAAATTAGTAATTAAAACAGAAGTATTCATCTAACATCTAAGACACCTTTTCCTTTATGTTGTAGTTCAGTTGAAGTCAGGGATAAAAGTGCTAATATTACCGTGACCTTTGCTATTACAGTAACACTCTGCTATAATTCAGAAAATTGTCAAATCATTGTGTGGTTAATGAAAGAACCCAGCAAAGCAAGCTCAACATTCCAGAAATTCTGTAGCCCAACCCAAATAGTACTATCCTGGCTGCCGTTTGGTGCCACCTTGTGGCAATCATCTATTTCAGTTGGATGGAGGAGAGGTAGGATGATTCTAAGACCTATGATTCAGCTTCTTAAGGACAGGTGCAGCAGTTCACACACTTGCTTGGTTAGTTGACACCAGATCTAGAAATTGTGCCAGGACCTTTGGGATGTAGGAGCCTCCATTCCTTGTCTTCCTAAGATAAGAGTCCTCCTCCTGCCTGCCTTTGTCCTCCCTTCTTTTAGGGCTGACTGGAGAGTGGAGTCAATTGTCAGTCACATTATTTTCTGAAATCCCTTTTATTGGGACTATTGTTATATTAAATGTGTTTATAAGAAATACTAATTTTTAAGTTTTTATTGTGAATTATGTGATAGTTTACATGGGTGAACATTAGCTTTACATTCATCCTATCGTATATCGTTTCACTGCCATGATTACAATCTCTTCCCTGCATCATCAACCAACCAAAGGGTATACCCCACAAGCCTGCCCCTTGGTTGTCAGCATACAGCCCTTCTCCCTTTTTGGGTCTAGAGTCCCCAGCCACTCCATCTCTCCACATCGTCGTCACTTGCCTCAATCTCTGGCATCAGTGTTTCTCTGGGTAGGGTCCTGCACTCTGCTCTTCTCCCTTGATGGGCCCAGGGACCTCCGCTCTTAGACTGCAAAGTCAACCACTCCCCTCCTTTTGCTACGAAATGCCCACCTTTATATTTCCAACTCGCACAGTCAGTCCTGATAGCAATTATTCACTATTGTACCACAAGAGTCCTAGCCCCATCTCCTTTCATAAGCCCCACCCAGACAGATTGGATACTACTCAGTGGAAATTCTACCTTCCTTTGCGCCCTCTGCATCTAGGCCCCCTCTTGAAAGCTTGTAAGCCAGTCACTTCTTGCCTTTGTAGCACCCCCATTCTGGGTAGCCAATGTCCAACTTGTCCATCCCTGTATACCCTGTGTACCAAGGGGGTGGGAATGATCCTCACTGTAAAGATTTGTTCCTTCTTTTGAACTACTGCATCCATAGGTGTAGGTCAAGTTCATCAAATTGTATCAGATTACTGTTTTTTTCCTCTTCTTGCTTCTTCAGGTCAAATTCTGATCATCCAGCCATTGAAGCTAGGTCAAGTGGGTATTATCTGCAAGTGTGGGTTTTCTTGTATATACTTCCTCACTTCTTAGCAGCTGGACGCTTCACTCTCCACTCTAGTCGTCTGTGGCTATGTCACTCACTGTCTCTGGGCCCAGGAGTCCCCAGGTCTTGCCATACTGCTTGCCATCCAGGTCTCCACCTGGGTATACTGGAGTCTATTGAACATGGTCGGACTTAGCTCACAACTTCATTGCTGTTTTTCCTTCACTTCTCCTTATCGGTAACCAACGTGGTCAGCAGTCAGACTGCATGCCTGCTGTGTATTCCCCTTGAGTCTTAGTCCTGGAAGAGGGGATGTCCTGAGGGGAGACCTGTCCACTTGCCTTGATGGCTCCCCAGCGAACAATTTGCTTGTTCTTATATTAGTCAGCTTGACTGCCATTATTTTTTATTTTTCCTGTTGGTCTTTCCGTCAAGAAGTATCTTCTGTTCTTACAGCCATTCCAGACTGGTCTGCTTGTCCTTTCAAGTGGAGATTTCCCACCTCAGAAGATTGTGGATGGGGTTCAGGATTCCACCTATGGTCTTAGGCTCCACAGGAAGCCTCCTTCACTGGGCAAGTTGTAGCCCTAATTTTAGGTATTCTAATCAGTTATAAGCAGAATATGTGAGTCCTCCTTTTTTGTAAACTGTGGTTGAAACCTACCAGCCACTCCTTAGGAGAATGATGAAACTATCTGTACCTATAAAGATTTACAGTCTCAGAAACCCTATTTAGGCTCACTATGAGTCAGAATTGACTCAATGGAAATAGGTTTGGTATTTTGGTTTTTATAGTAATTCTATATTTAACTTTTTTGTGGTACTGGCAAACTTTCCCATAGCCGTTGTACCATTTTGCTGCTTTTCCATAAATGAAGGTTCTAGTTTCTCCATATTCTTGCCAAAACTTGTTATTTTCCATTTTTCTAATAATAGCCATCCTAGTAGGTATAAGATGGAATCTACTGTGCTTTTGATTTATATGTACTAAACCCTCATCAAGTATATGATTCCCAAATACTCTCTCCCATTTTATAGTTGTCTCTTCTATGTCTGTTTTTCCCTCTTTTATTTATAGCCCTTTGATACACATTTTTTTTTCAATGAAGTCTACTGTATCCGTTTTTTCTTTTGTTTGTGCTTTTAGTGTCATATGTCTTAAGAATATGTTGCCAAAATAAGATCTTGAAGATTTATTCTGTTTTATGTCTTTAGTTCTTATATTTAGGTCACTGTTCCATTTTTAGTTGATTTCTATATATGGTATTGGTTTAACTTCATTTGTTTGCATGCAGAGATCCATTTGTCCCAGCACTATTTATTGGTGAAACTATTCTTTCCCTATTGAATCAACTTGTCACTCTTTTCAAAAATAAATTTGCCATAGATGTATGGTTTTAGTTCTTAAGTCTTAATTGTACTCTACTGTTCTATATGTCTGTTGTTATAAGAGCAGTACAGTTTTGATTGCTATAGCTTTATAGTATTTTTTTAAAATGTTTGATTGTGAATTATGTGGTAGTTTACATGGGAGAACATTAGCTTTACATTCATCCCATCGTATATTGTTTCACAGCCATGGTTACAATCCCCTCCATGCATCATCAACCAACCAAAGGGTATACCCTGCGAGCCTGCCAACCAGTCCTCAGCACACAGCCCCTCTCTTTTTCTGGGTGTAGAGTCCCCAGCCGCTCCATCTCTCCAAGTCGTCGTCTCTGCCTCCATCTCTGGCATCACTGCTTCTCTGGGTAGGGTCTTGCACTCCGCTCTTCTCCCTTGATGGTTCCAGGGACCTCTGCTCCTGGACTGCAAAGTCAACCACTCCCCTCCTTTTGCTACAAAATGTCCACCTTTACATTTCCAACACTCATAGTCAGTCCTGATAACAGTTATTCACCATTGTACTACAAAGGACCTATCTCCATCTCCTTTCATTAGCCCCACCCAGACAGATTGATACTACTCAGTGGAGATTCTACCTTCCTCTCTGGATCTAGGCTCCCTCTTGAAAGCTTGTAAGCCAGTCACTTCTTGCCTATGTAGTGCCCCCAACTTGCCCATCCCTGTCTACCTTGTGTACCAAGGGGATGGGAGTGATCCTCACTGTAAAAATTTGTTCCTTCTTTTGAGCTACTGCATCCATAGGTGTAGGTCAAGTTCATCAAATTGTATCAGATTACTCTGTTTTTCCTCTTCTTTCTTCTAGTTGAGCTCTGATCATCCATTCATTGAAGTCAGGTCAAGTGGGTATTTATCTGCAGGTGTAGATGTTCTTATACACATGCCCTCTCTTATCAACTGGACACTTCACTCTCTACTCTGCTTCACTCTCCACTCCTCTGTGGCTGTGTCACTGACTCTGGGCTTAAGAGTCCCCAGGGCTTGCCACACTGCTGGCCAACCAGGTCTCCACCGGGTTCACAGGAGTCTGTTGAACATTGTAGGGCGTAGCTTGCCAGCTTCATTGCTGTTTTTCCCTCACTTCCCCTTATTGGTGATTAACGTGGTCACCAATCAGAACGTGTATTACCACTTGGAAGGATATAGTATGTTTTGAAATCAGGTAATGTGTATCCTCTTACTTGGTTCTTCCTCAAAATTGTTTCGACTGTTGTTAAGGGCTATCAAGTCAGTTCCGACTCATAGAAATCCATTTTGGGGTTTCCGAGGAGCAGCTGGTGAGTTTGAACTTCCGACCTTGCAGTTCAAACCACCCATGCAGTCTAATGCTTATCCTATAGCACCATACCAGAACTCGTTGTTGTTAAGTGCCGTCAAATTGATTCCTACCCATAATAACCCTGTATAGAATTTCCAAGGAGCAGCTGGTGAGCTTGAACCACTGACTTTGTAGTTTGATGCAATAGCCCACAGCACCAAATCAGGACTCCTTAAGATCCCTTAAATTTGTATATGAATTTAAAGATAGAGTTTTTGTTTTTGTTTTCTGCAAAAAAGACTATTGAAATTTTGATTTATTGTTTATGTAAATCACTTTGGGTAGTATTGTACATCTTAATATTGTGTTTTTCAGTCCATGAATGTAGGATGTCTTTCCATTTATTTTGGTCTTCTTAAGTTTTTTTCAGCAATGTTTTATAGTTTTCATTGTACTTTTACCTCTCTGGTTACATTTACTCCTAAGGATTTTAAGAGTTCTACTTGTGTTTGCTAAGGGATGTACTTTTGAAAATCTTTTGTTCTTATAATAGAGAACGGAGACCAACATGGGCTGAAGAAAGAAAATTAAATGCTGAAACATTTGGAATCCCACTTCGTCCAAACCGTGGCCGTGGGGGCTACCGAAACAGAGGAGGCCTTGGCTTTCGTGGTGGCAGAGGTCGTGGTGGGGGTCGAGGTACCTTCACTACTCCTAGAGGGTTTCGTGGTGGATTCAGAGGAGGCCGTGGAGGCAGAGAGTTTGCAGATTTTGAATATAGGGTAAGTAGATTATATGCTTTGGGCTTGGTGCACAGTTCTATGGAATTCAGAATGTTTTTACTTATATCTATTTCAGATGCCGTTTTGTTTTTGTTTTTTAAAGGAAATTTGAATAACTTCTATTATGATTTTTCATTGGAAGATAATCATTTTAAGGAGCAGTGACTTTCTTGACTAACCAGTCCCTTTTTTACCGTGTGCCCCCAGCCCCTACTTTAATACCAAAGGAATTGGAAGGATGTATTCCCAGAGTGGAAGGCAGGCCTTAACATGTAACAGCAGCTAGATTAACATAAGGAGCCTTGTAGTGCTGTGAGGTACGAGTTGAGCTGCAGTTCTCACAAGGTCAGCAGTTCAAGCTCACCAGCTGCTCCATGAGAGAAAGATGAGACTGTCTGCTCCCATAAAGATTTACAGCCTCGGAACTCAGTCCTATTCATAGTTGGCATTGACCAGCTCCCATCATTTGGTCCAATTTACATAATACTGAGTTGGTGCCAGGCATTGTTCCAAATGATTCTCACATTGAACCTCAATTAAGCCTCACATCACCTCTGAAGTAGGTCATATTATATGATTGTCTCCACTAACAAATTAGGTAATAGGCATGGAGATAGTAAGTTGTTCTAAGTCACGCAACTAGCAGGTGATGGCACTGAATCTGAATCTTGCAAGGAGGTGTCTCATGCTTTTCATTTCATTTTGTGGACAACTTACTATATTTTCTCTTTTCCGTATTTCACTGTAGTCTTAAAGTTTATTTATTTGAAAGACCTTGTAAATTAAGTCAGTGTTTCTATTCTAATTTATTGATTTTCATGATGTTGGAGCAGAGGGTGTATAATTGTAGAAAGGATCAGAATCCCTTTGTTAAGAGATCTTTTAGGGATAGCAAAGGGCGTCTGGAAACAGAAGGGTCTGTTGGCAGGAGTTTCATTGTCTGGTAATGGAAACCACCCATTGATGAGATGTCTCAAGAAGGATCGTTGTTGATGGCTTTTAGACCTGGGCTGTTTGTCTTGATCCCTCTGGTCTTCCCAACAGCTGAGACTGCTGAGATGATCTGCTGGTCATGAGGTTCTCCTTTGTACAGGGACAGACAGCCTCATCTTTCTCTGCAATGTGACTGGTGGATTCGAATTGCTGATCTTGTGGTTAGCAGCTCATTGTGTTGCCAGGGTGCAAAATCGATGCAGCCTCAACCTTCTTGGTGTTTACAGTACAGCGTTATTAGGTGCTCTCAACTCAGTTACTTGAGCTCTGGTAGTGTAGTGGACGGATACAAGTCGGGCTGTGAATTTCCCGGTCAGCAGTTCAAAACTGCCAGCGACTCTTCAGGAAAGATAAGGCCTTCTGCTTCCAGAAAGATTTACAGCCTCAGAAACCCTATACAGGGTTGCCGTGAGTCAGAACCCACGCCATAGCACATAACCACCACTAAATCAGTTACAGCTCATAGCAACCCTAGTCATAATAGAATGAAACTTTACCTGGTCTTCAAAGTCTTTGCTTATTTCAACCCATTGTTTCAGTCACTGTCCGTCCATCTCCAGGGACTGGTCCCTCCTGATAACATGTTTAAAGTATGTGAAACAGTCTCACTGTCTTTGCTTCTAAGGAGCTTTCTAGATAGATGTACTTCTCAAAGACAGATTTCTTCATTCTTGCAGTCCATTATACTTTAAGTATTTTTCACCAACACCGTATTCAAATATGACAATTCTTCAGTCTTTCTTTATTCACTGTCCAACTTTCACGTGCGTACGAAACAGTTGAATATACACGATGGGTCAGGCACACCTTAGTCCTCAAAGTGACATTATTGCTATTTTTAACAACTTAAAGAGGTCTTTTGCAACAGATTTGTCCAATGCAATGTGTTGTTTGATTTCTTAACTACTGCTTCCAATGGGTGTTGATTGTGGATCCAAGTAAAATGGTATCTGACAACTTCAGTCTTTTCTCCTTTTGTCATAATTGCTTATTCCAGTTTTGAGATTTTTCGTTTTCTTTAGTGTTGAGGTGTAATCTGTATTGAAAGCTGTAGTTTTAGATCTTCATTAGTAACTACTGGAAGTCCTCTTCTCTTTCAGCAAGCAAGGTCTGAATGAGTATGGTGAAAGGATACAATCCTGATACACACCTTTCCTGATTTTAAACTACACAATATCCCTTTGTTCTGTTCCATTGACTATCTCTTGGTTTATATGGACAGGTTCCTTGTGAGCACAATTAAGAGTTCTAGATTTCCCATTATTCTCAGTGTTATCCATAGTTTGATATGGTCCACACAGTCAATAAAAAACAAGTCAACATCTTTCTGGTATTTTCTGCTTTCAGCCAAGATCCAGCTAATGTCCACAATGATAATCTTTCCACTCCCTCTTCTGAATCTGGTGTGAATTTTTGGAAGTTCTCTGTCAATGTACTGCTGCAACCATTTTTAATTATCTTCAACACAAGCATACTTTACTTGCATGTGGTATGAATGACACTGTTTGGTAATTGCTGCAGTCTTTTCATATCAACTCTCTTAGGAATGAGCATAAATATGAATCTCTTGCAATTGGTTGACCAGGTTGCTGTTTTCTAAATTTCTTGGCATAGACAAGTGAGCACTTCCAGTGTTGCATCTGTTTGCTGAAACATCTCAATTGGTATTCCATCAATTCTTGGAACCCTGTTTTCGCCAGTGCCCTCAGTGCAGCTTGGACTTCTTTCTTCAGTTCATTGGTTCTTGATCAAAAGCTACCTCCTAAAATGGCAACTTATTCTTTTTTTAGGTACAGTGACTCTGAATTCCTTCTCTATTGTCCTCTGTCGCCTCCTACATTGTTCAGTATTTTGCCTGTAAAATCTGTGGCAACTCGCGGCTTAAATTTTTCCTTCAGTTCTTTTAGCTTGAGAAATACTAAGTATGTTCATCCCTTTGGCTTTCTAGCTCCAATTCTTTGCATATTTCACTATAATATATTGTCTTCTTGAGTGCAACTTTCTGTTCAGCTCTCTTACTTCATCATTTCTTTCATTCATTCACTTTAGCTAACTGTATGTTCAAGAGCAAGACTCAGAGTCTCTTCTGATATTCATTTTGGTGTTTTCTTTTTTCTAGTCTTTTTAATGACCCTTTACTTTCTTCACGAGAATGCCATTATTGTCATCCCATGAGTTGTCTGGTCTTCAGCTATTAATGTGTCAGATCTGTCCTTGAGTTAACTTCTAAATTCAGGGGGTAGAAACTCAGGGTTGTACTTGGGCTCATGTGGATTTGTTTTCATTTTCTTCAGCTTCAACATGAACTTGCATGGTATTTGCAGTGAATGTTGTTGTTAAGTGCTTTCGAGGCAACTCCGACCCTGTGTAGGGTGTCCGAGGAGCAGCTGGTGGGCTTGAACCGCTGACCTTGCAGTTCAAACAGTTTTGCAGTCTGATGCATTAACCCACAACGCCACACCAGGACTCCTATTTTCAGTGAATAAGTCTTATAAAATTCCGTATTGTGATCTTCAGTGTCATTTCTATTACAAAGACCATGTTTACTGATCCTTCTTTGTTTCTAACTTTCATACTCCAGTCACCAATAATTATGTGATTGACCAATGCCATTCCTTTGCAACTCACTAATGCCTTGACTGGACTCCTGGTGTGGTGCTGTAGAATCAGCACTGGACTGTGAACAACAGGTCTGCAGTTCAAACCTACCAGCTGCTCCTCAAAAATCATATACAGAGTCACAATAAGTCGGAACCACCAAATGCCTACAATATCGATCTTTATGCATTCCATTTCATTTTTATGACTTCCAATTTTCCTAGATTCATACTTCATTCTACATTCCAGTTATTAATGCATGTTTTCAGCAGTTTCTTCTCATTTTGAGTCCTGCCACATCAGCGATTGAAAGTCCAGACATCTCTGTTCCATCTACTTCATTAAACCGACTCTACTTTGAGTCGGCAGCCCCTCCCCTCCAAGTCCTATTTAAGTGCCTTCCACCCTCTGAAGGCCTCACCTTCTGACACTGTAGCAGAAAACATTCTGCTGCTGTTGATCAGGTTTTCAGTAGCCCACCGCCCCAGCTTTCTTCCTAGTGTGTCTGAGTCTGGAGGCTCCTTTGTTGACCTTGCGGGGATTTGAAATACATGATGTACAGCTTCCAGCATCAGAGCAACACACAAGCCACTTCAGTACAACAAACTGACACATGAGCGCTGACTCTTGACATAAATACATATTCTACTTTTCTTTCCATCACAACATCTCAGCATGGAGCCATATGGGCTCAAAGTCTTTTTAGCATATTGATGTTCTACTTTAACCCTCAGTGAGATCAGAGGTCCATTATTGTGGTTATACCTCTTAGCATATCTATTCTAAATGTGATTATTTAGCATCTTTACTTGTCAACTTCACTGAGACAGCATCTAGTACTTTGTTCCAGAGATGGGAGCCAAAGGCAGTTAGAGCAGCCTTCATGTGATGGATTGACTGTCTTCTTCTGTGCTATATAGGTATTACCATTCCATCCCTCAGAAACCCTATACAGGGTCACTATAGGTCGGAACTAACTCGAGAAGTGACTCGACAGCACTTAACAAAAATAATTACCGTTTTAAAATGAAAACAAAAAAACTTAATTGTTTAATAAGAGTAAAGCAAGGATCATAGAAAAATCAAGCACACTAAAACTCTCACCCACTCCATCTGCATTAGATGCTAATAAACTAAGGACATCCCCTAAGAACTTGATTGAACCTCAGCATAGTGATCCTGCTTGGTCACCTTAGAGCAGGTGGTGGGCTGGCAACGTCTTGC